ATAAATATGAACATCAAGATCATAAATATTTTATAATTATGAAATTTTCTTAGCAATATTTGCTTAAATCTATCATTTTTCCTTAACGACTTTCATTTAATTATAAGTTTCCTAATTTTATTTCTGGTGTTTATTTTAACAAATCATTGACTTTATTGTAATGATAAATTTTTTTAAAATTTTTTTCTGCTTAAGGACTTAATGCATTTTTGTACCTATTTTAAAGTCAGTTGTTGAAATTTTTGTGATAAATTAAAAAAAATTTTGCTCCCATTTGTCATATTTATGCTTAAATTCAATAGCAAAATAAAATATTTTGTCAAGCATTGAATGCACTGAAGCAGCATCAGCTGCATAATATTATTTTTCAATTTATATGTCTGTCTGTCCGTCTCTACTCTATTGTCTGTCCGTCTTTCCGTTAGTCTACTGGCTTTTATGATTGAATACAATTTTGCAGCAAATTTATCAAATATTTTGAAAATATACATGATGATGTTGATGATGATGATACATAAATATAAACAGTTTTGTTATAGTACAACAACAACAACTACTACAAAAAAGGAAATATGATTTTCCTTTCAAATAAACAGATAGAATTTCAGCAACATTATGTGGGGAGTTGTCTGACGAAAAAAAAAAAATAAATGTTTAAATCTACTACAGTATTAGGAAAAAAAGTAGTAACTAGTTACAGTGGCAATTAAAACTAAAAATTTTTTAATATATAAAAAAATATATTCCTAACCCCGATTTTCACAATGTCTAGTTATTTTTAACTTTAAGATATATTGACAGTTTTCATACAAAAGTTGTCTTAACTGGAAGAATCGGTTAAACGATAACTGGAGGTGGTGAAAATGGGGGTAAATGTTATTACTGAAATTGTTTAGTTTTCTTATTCTCTTTTTTTAAGCCTTTAAGTTTTCTTTAAATTTCCATTAAAGTGAAAGAAATAAACAGGTTTTCATTAGATTTACGATAAAAGGTTAAAGTTTAGGAAAAGTTTAGTTTACTAGTGCTATTCTTAGCTTATTTTGATGTAGCTCGATCTAAAATTTTACACTTTAAGCCTTAAACTCGAGTTTAGTTAAACCTGGTTTTCAAGAGTTTAACCAAAATTCTGTTTATATTCCCATTAAACTGAAAGAAATAAATAATTTTTATTTAAAAATTTTATAAAAAATGTATTACTAAAAGTTTTAATAAGATTTTTTCAACGAAATTTTGTATTTAATTTAGCTGCCACTGTTCTAAAATGACTAATGTGTATGTTAGTACTGCTACTTGTTGTTAGTTACCTTAAATTCTCATGCACACTAACATACACATTATCAGATCTATAAATACTGTTGGTTGTGACATAAACATACACATGCACTCATAAATTTGCATACAAATGTCAGATTGTATAGCAGTGTGTCATACAATATTTGAAATATAATTGTGGTATTGTATGGTTTTGTTCAGTTGTTGTTGTTGTTGTCGTTGCTGTTTTGTTTTTGTTATGCCACTCAATGCAACAAAACAGTACAATTCAATTGCATGCAACTCAATTTTACCAAAATAATTTTTGAACATAAACTAATACCCACAAATACACACACACACACATCCGACATACATACATACAATATAGATATAGTATGATGCATGCGATGCTTATCAAACCATATTGACATGACCATATACAATGTTGCTACAACAAGTACTCCCAATACACACATAAAACTAACTAACTAACTGTACTAACTCATACCATATATTTGTTTGCTCTCTCTTTCTCTCACACTTTTGCTTTTATTATGGTTTTTTCATAGCATACATTTGTGTGTTCAATAGTAATTTGTCTGTCTACTGTTTTCAGTTAAACCAACATTTCTTTATGCTTATAGAGTAATATGTTTAAATGTGTGTATCTTTGCGGCTTTTTATACATATGAATGTATGTATGTATGTGTGTGTACATTTTCCAATATGTATAATTTTCTCATCATATTTTATTTCATTTATGTATGTTTTGTGTCTGATTGTTTTTAGCCAAATTAAATCATTTCCTTGTGGATTATAAACTTTGGCATCTGTTTACCCTTGGTTTTCTTTTTTCTCTTTCTCTCCCTCTCTCTCTCTATAGTGTGTTTGTTGTTAACTGTTGCCATTTTGTCAATAACAATTATTTAAGATTTTAATCTATATTATTTGTTTGTTTTATATTAATTAAATATGCATTAAATTTATTTGTCAATTTTTGTTATAAAATTCAGCATTTTTTAAAAAGCTTTATTTATGAATTCTTTATTTGGGGTTTTACAAAAATTAATAATTTATTGAAAATAGTTATATTGAATATTTTTTCCATTATTATAGTGATAATTAAATATTTAATAATGAAGATATTTCCTTTTCAATTTAACTAGAAAAATTATAAACAGTGTTGGACAAAAAAAAAAAAAAAAAAAAACAATGTTTTAAACAATTGCTGGGATTTTAAGTGAAGAATCGTTTCCAGATAATTGAATAACAATTTTGTAAAAAAGAACTATTTAAAGTAAAGTTATATTATAACATTTTAATCGACTTATAGCAAAATTAAAAGTCCGCCAATCCATCAAAATTTTAAGTGAACAATCCATCTTAAGTTAATTTTTGTTTTTCTCAAATTATTTAGATCTCAATAGAGCAAAAAAATTTCAATTTAAGCCTTAAACTCGAGTTTAGTTAAACTTGGTTTTCGAGAGTTTAAGCAAAATTTTTTTTAAATTTTAATTAATCGACAAGAAATAAACAAGTTTTCATTAAAATTATAAACATAAAATCCTTTGTGGTCCAAAAGTTTTGAATATTGTGCTTTCACTTTTATTATTTTGGCCTTTACTGTAAGCAATTATTTATATTACACAAATATACCTTGATTACTTGAGGATTATTTGTATTATATGCTTTACTTACTTATTTACTTTATTATTCTTTATGAATTTGAAATTATGCATAAATTGTATAGATAAGAAAACTATAAAAGATACAGTAGAATCACATTAAACTTAGTGGATGGTTTAGAATATATTTGTGTGTGATTTTTTAACAACTAAAGAAATCTAAAAGTTTTAGTTCTCGTTTTAAAAGCCTTATAATTCGAAAACACTCCACTCTCATATCTTTATTAGCACAGCATACTTTTAGTTGCTTAATTTCCTCAATTTAGTCATTACTGTTTGTCTTAGTATAGTTTTAATTCCTTAGTTCTAAACTAGCCATATGTTTAATTTACATAATGATTTTCATCTATTTACTATCATTATTATTTATTATGGTCTTTTATTGTTTAACGATTTGTGTATAGGTATGTATATGTATTGGTCTTTTAGTTCGAACTACTTTTGCATATAAAAGTGTGTCTTTAACTCTCACACTTTCGTCTTTTTTGTTTTTATTTACTCCCTTTTAATATATGGATTTTATTATAATTTATTCTGTTTTATTATTGTTATTTGATTATTAATATTTATGGCATTTACTTAATGTTTTTAATATTATTCATAACTACACACATATGTATTCATAATTGTATGTTTTTGTTTATCTGTGTATATGTTAATTAATTATTTAATTGTTTCACTTATCACTTAATTAATATGGGATTTATTCATATATTATGCTTAAAAAAAAGATGGTAAATATTGTTGCTGTTTTTTGCATATAACAAATTAAATTTTTTTATCATTATATGTGGTATCATCACTTGACTTATTATTATAAAACCTAAAGAAAGTAATATTTATTTAAATTGTAAATTTGAATTTCTATATTTTTTAACTTTTCATGTCTTTATTACTGGATTTTTTCTATTTTAACTATTTTGCAAAACATTTATCATTTGCAGCAGAGTGTCTTTTAAAATTTATGAGTTTTTAATTAACTTTTAATATCTCGAGGTTATATTTAATTATTTAAAATAAATTTCATGCAAAATTTAATTTACATTTTACAGAAAAATTATTTATACAAAAATTTCTGCTGGCATTTATATTTCTGTTGTGAATTTATGAAAAATTTTTCTTTTTTATAATTAAAAATTAATTGTAAAATATTTTATAAAATACTTTTATTTTAAAGAATTTTAAAAATATTGCAACAGCAAAATTTAAATGCAGCCTAAAAATAGGCTATAGCAAATATATTTTGTTGCAATCTAAAAGTAGGCAACATTATAATTATGATTAGAACATAAACGTTTCAAAAAAGTTTTAATCAGATTTTAAATGTAATCTTTGAAATTTATCCTAAAAGTAGGCACTATTTATTTAATATTTTTTTTATTAAAAACTCATAACTTACAAAATAAATTTTGTTTATATAAATTATTGCTAAAAGTAGGCAACATTTTTATAATATAATTAAAATAAAGATCCGTTTTAGAATGCTTTGAGAATAGATTCTCAATATAAAATTTTATACTTGCAATTGCAGCCTAAAAGTAGGGCACAGAAATAAAGTAATTAATTACGTGTCAATAACAATTACATGTAATGTGTAATTGAGCAATAAACAATTACACATACTTGTAATTGTAATTGAAGTTTTTCCAATTACAATTACTTGTAATGTGTAATTGACCAAAAAACCAATTACAATTACTTGTAATTGTTATTGAAGTTTCCATTTAAAATTACTTGTCATTAAGGTATTACTAATTACTAATTACATGTAATTATAAAGAACAAAATTCACAATTACAAGTAATTGTAATTGGAAATTCTTCAATTACAATTACAAGTAACTGTAATTGTCAAACCTTCAATTACAATTACAAATAATTGTAATTGGAAAAACTTGTAATTGTAATTGGTAAAGCTTCAATTGCAATTACTTCAAATGTAATTGTAATTGAAAATGTAGTCATTACCCCCCAACCCTGGTAGAAACTGTACATTAATAAAAATTTAACTTGTGTCTTAATTAAATTGTACTAATTTCCCTCAATTTTTCTCTCTTTCCAGGTGAGTCCTCACGAATATTATCACATAAAAATGCCGCAAAAATTTGTAAGTTGTTTTTAATTTCATACTTTTACTTTGTTTTCCATTCATTCAATCATTTCTAATTAATTTTTACATAAACTAAATACTACTACTTCTCTAGTTTCTATTATTTACAAAATTTCTATAAGAATTTATTTGTTAAGCACTTAAAGGGAATATAAATTTCAATTTTAATTTCTATACAATTTATTAATTGTTAAAATTAAATGAAAATTAAATCCTTATTAAATAAAATACTTAATTTTTTCTCAGCAACTGGTTACCAAAACAGCAAAATAAGAAAAGAAATTTCTTTAGAAAGTTTAAATAAATAAATAATACTTGAACTAACAACACACTTAATATTATTCAATAAAAGCCCCCCGCTGCTGAGGATGTTATTATACCATAACACACACACACAGCGCACAAAATGATTATCAATTACTTGTAAATTTGTTGAAAATAGACAAAAAAAAAACGACGAACGACCCTTATAAATACATATTTCATTAAGCTAATTTTTTCACTCCCTCTATTACTACTTGGCTTTGTTTTTATCTATTTTGAATTGCAGATATTGTTAAGGGGAAAAAGTTACTTGTTGTGCTGCTTTGTTGTAGGGAGATTTTATGCCTATTTAGCAAAAAAAGTTAAGCTTAATTAGCATTTGGTAGCATAGAAATCACTGGGGAGGCTAAACAAAACAAAAACCAAACATTAACTTTTAGATTTAAATAGACTACAAAGAAAGAACGATAGATAGAAAGAAAGAAAAGACAATGTGTCATGAAAACCAAAACGCTAATTATGATAATTGTTATTAAAAGGAATTTTACAGCAAAAATCTAATACACACAACACACTTTTACATACATTTAGACAAAAAGGTTAAAACAACAAAAAGTTTACAATCAGTTGGGCTTATGCTGCCTAGCTGCCATTGCCACACCAGGCCAACAAGCACTTAACAAAACCTAACGCTTGTATTTGTAGCTGCCTTTAACGTTATACTATTTGGCTTGTCTGTAATGATATTGGCTGACTGATGGTTTTCAGTTAGTTGTACTATATTACTGGCCTCCTTTGGTTCTTTTGTGTATCTTAGTTAAAATCTCTTTTAATGTGTATTATATTGACTGTATGGCCTTTAAATCGAACAATTTTGTTGTAAAGTCGTTTTTATTATCCCCAAACAGCTATCCAGCTTAATTTTAGTTCTATTTCATTATAGAGTGCGTGTGTTTGTATTTGTGTTATAATACGAGTCCTTATCTCTATGCTATTTTTGTATGTCCTTCATGTTTTTTTCACTTTTTGTGCCTAGAATATTATTCAAACATAAAGAAAATGCTTTTACTTCTATTCTTAATATTTCTACTTCGTGTTTTGTTGTTGCGAAAACTTGTTGAAGCTAGATAAGATGCTTATCATCAAGTTCAGAGTATCATCATCATCATTATTATTATCGTCATGAATGAATGAACGAACCATTATGTCTATTGCAAAAATTTGTTTTGTTTGCCTTTAATGGTTATTACGGGTGAGCTAAGATACTGCGAATAAAATGAGTAGGGTAAAAGACATTAAACGTACATGTTCTTGGTTTTCGAAAAAAAATTGTTTATAAATGTTTTAATTAGCCTAAAATTATATGAACAAGCTTGCTATGCAACTAAAAGTATGCAACATTTTTCATTATGGAATATTAGAACATTATCAAAAATTCTAAAAAAATGTGCAAAATTCGTTAATATACAAGTATTGAGTACTACTACACTACACAGAGGGAAAGAGAAATATACACGCCTGGCACCAAATTGACACCAAACTGTTTATAATTTTTCAATACCATCCGTTGTCAAAGTATATACATACGTACGACAACACTATGTAATGTTGACAACATTGCAACAACAAACGTTGTAAGCATTTAGATAACGAATGTGTATAAAATTTCGACAACGAATTGTTGCAATGTTGACAAGGTTGCGTTGTGAACATTACATAGTGTTGTCTTACGTATGTATATACTTTGACAACGGATGTTATTGAAAAATTATAAACTCTTTGGTGTCAATTTGGTACCAGGCGTGTTTATTTCCTTTTCCCTTTGTGTAATGGTGTGCAACATTCATGAAGTCTATCTAGTTTTTAAACTTTCTAAACTCCACTTTAAACTGCTTAAATGTATTCAAAGTAAAAATCGATTTAATATTAAAACAGCCCAAAAGTATGCTATAATAAGAAAAACAATTTAAATTAAAAATTCTACCTTATTCCTTGCTTGCTGAGTATTTTTACCAAAAATGGAAAAACGCACACAAAAACCTGAAGTACTTGTTTATTTTCCTTAAGGAGTGTGTATATCTGTGAGTGTGTGTGTGGCAGTATAATTTTTCCTTTAGTATTTATGTAAATTACTTTCTGATCAATCTGTTGTATAGTATTTAGTCTAATTAAAGACCCCCTGCCAAACAATTTTTGGCAATATAATCACTACAACCTATTAACAAGCAAACCCTAACTCTTAAAAACTGATACATAAAAAGTAACAGATATATAAAGAGGCGGAGAAGTTATCATAACAACGCCAAAGCAATGCTTAAGGGCTTGTGTTTATGTGTTTTCTATGTGAGAGAAAAAGAAAAGTAAAGGATTGTTTTTATTATAATATACAAAACATTTTTCAGGTTTATTTTTCATTTAAACAAAAACAAAAGCCTTGAAAAACATTATTTTGCTTTTAAAATACAAAAAAAAAAAAAAAAATACAATTGAAATTTTGTATTCTCTACTTTTGCTCTTTTTAGTTTTAAGTTAAATGTTTTTGGGGTTTTGTAAGTCAGGTGCCAGAGATCTTTCTTTGTTTTGTCTTTGGTTGTTATAGGAAAATATATTTCCACTCTATTTCCGGTTGGGGCTAAGTAAGCATAATAACAATTTCTATAATAATAACAATAACTTTTAAACTTTTTGTTTAAACTTGAAAAGTTTTATTTTCTTAACTATGATCTATTTTCTTTTAATTTGTTTTAAAGTAGTTTAAATAGGTAAATATTTTATTGATTTTTATCTTCTAAGGAAAAATTAAAAACAATTTCGCGAATATTCCGAGAGCAACTCATTTTAATGCAGCCTAAAAGTATGCTTAGATTTTAATACTAACCAAACTCACAGATATAAACAAAAACCTTTAATACACCCTAAAAGTATACTTATTCAATACTTTTCTCTTGATTTAAACCAGAAATTAGTCATTTTATAAATAACATTTTTACAACAACTTTTCATTTGATTTCTTTGACTTTTCAAATAGTTTTTTTTTTTGACATTTACACAACTTTTAAGAGATTTTTCTTTTTTACTCTGAAAAAGCTCTTCAAACTATAAGTTCTAATTAAAATGACGCCTGAATTGCTTTGATTTGTTGAGACTGGCAAATTGGCAAATTCCAATGCAGATGAAAAGTTGCAATAGTTTTGCAATAAAGCACAACACTTGAAGTTTGTAGCCAAATGAAAGTGTTTCTTTTGCTATAATAAAAATTTAATTTAATTAAAAGGTCAAGCCCAATAAGGCCAATAACAAAAAGCCAAAAGATTTTAATACTAAATATAGAAAACCAACAAAATATGTTCGATAAAATCTAAAGATTTTTATTGATTTTTAAATTTTTAAACAATTCACAGAAAATTCAAATTCAATGTAACATTAAACTGTTGTTGAAGGAATATAACAAACAAATTGCAAGTACTTTTAATCAAATGCATACTTTTATTTAATTTTGTTTTATATATATTTTTTTTTTCATCTACTAATAAACAATAATGGTCAACAACTTGAAAATGTAGAGGAGCACAAGACCTAAATAAATGAATAGTAAATGACTGCTCAAGTAGAAAATTTTTCAACACAAATATTATAGAAAAAAAAACATAGAAATGTTTATGTACTTGACAAACAACAAAATAGTAAAACAATTTTTTTTTTTTTTTTTTTGAGAAAAAAAAATCCTGAAAAGTCCATTGAGAATCAATTGCTGAATTAATTTCAATCTAACCAGAACACACAAAACAAAAATTCAACAGCATTAGACTTTCAACAGCAGTTTTGAAGCAGGAATAAACTAGAAAACTGTGGATAAAATATAGAAAAACCAACAGATTACAACTGAAATCCTTAGATTGTGAAATTGTAAATAAATGTAGAGGAGTAGTACAGAAACATAAAAAACACAAAGAAGTAATCTAAGAAAAAAAATGAACATTCCAAAATCGTTAGGGGAATGAACTAGAGCAAAGGCAAGGAAACTTGATTTTATATGAAATTTGGTATGAAATAAAAAAAAAAAGAAAAATAGTTTATTGAATTGTCGTATACTTCTCTTAAAAGAAAAAAAACACCAAACCCAAATTATTAAAATCACCATAACATAAAAAAATCCTTTCCAAAAAACAATAACTGTTAAAAATTCAAGCGGAAACCGGAAGTGTTGCTGAAACACTAACGATGATGAAAACAACAATAACTTAACTGCCAGTTATAAATTTTAACATACATTCTTACACATATTCACAGACAGATACATATACTCCAACTTTTTGTTTTTGGTGATGAATTGTTTTGCTTTTTTTCTCTCATCGATCTCTTTTTCCTTAGTCCTTTTTTTTTGGGTTGTCGTTTTGCTACAGCCAACAACTACACAATATGATGAATGTCAGTTCTAAAAATTTATGAATATTGAATAAATTCATAAACCAAAAAAAAAAATAAAACAAGAACTCAATTGTTGAGAGACGAGATAAAAAAAAAACACGGGTTAAAACATGTTTGAAAAAGTCATCACCATTTTGAATGATTTTTCCGTTAAGTTTATTTTACAGATTAAAAATGTTTAGTGCATATTTTTGAATGTGAACAATTTTAAAATTTTATTTTTAAAAGGAGACCAAATTTTTTCATTAACTAATTTTATTACTATTTAAATTTAAGAAAAGTAGTAAAAATTTTACTTCTTTTAT